AAAAAAAAAAAAAAAAAAATTGAGAACAATGGTTCAAAGTTTTTGATGTGTTTTATTACAAATGTTCAGAACAACTCGAGAAGCCATTTACAAAAGAAAGAAAAAAATTTTTTTTCTTTAGCAGTCAAAGAACTTTTACGGAGAAGATTCACTTTTTGAAGAAGTTGAAGTCGTTCAAAAGTTTTGTCTGCGGGCAAACAACGGACGCCAACGTAGGCACAGACAGACGGACAGACAGACAGACAAACAGACAGTCACAAAGACTTACAGATAGGTGCCAATATACATAAACACGAAGACACTCAGTTCGTCAGCCAGTCAGTCAGTCAGCCAACCACTCAATCACTCAGTCACTCATTCACTTTAGCCACCGTGTTGCAGGTCCGTTCCGATACCGAACACCACTATCGTGTCCAACCAGTGTCGTTCATTTATTAAAGTGGCAAACATAGAATCTCAGATTTTTTCCATTTTATTGTTTGTAGAACGCAAAAATTTCAATTGTTATCTAGCGTAAGTAAAAGCGGCCTACTTAAGAAAGCAAGAAAAAAAAAGAAAGAAAAATATTGTTTTTTCCCATCGTTTTCTCTTCTTATTCACAATTACAACCTCTCTTTCAATTTTTTTTTCCAACAGATCAAATTCTACAGAAACAACAACAAACAACAACAACAACAACAACAAGAACAAAAACAACAGTAATACTGCTGCTAATAGCAACAGCAATGGCAACAAAATCAACAAAATAATAGCAAAAATAAATATACTTAATTTGATGTAAGATAAAAAAGTAACGATCAACCGAACTATTGACGATTAATAAAGCACAGATATACCTCTGTTAATTTAAGTTTTACTGCCTTTTGAGTTGGTCAGATTTTTATGGCCAATAAGATATCGTTCCATGTTTATCAAGTGAAGATCAAAGAAAAGAAGAATTAGACAGATCCTCCAACCAAATAATTGATCAGAATATGGAAAAACACAAGAGTAATGCGAATATAACCTGAGACAGGAAAAATGAAAAATGTGTAATGAAAAAAAAAAGTTCTCAAGTCAGACATACAGTTACATATTTTTCTTTTCCGTTTTTTGTTCAGTAATTTTTGAAAATGGTTTAACATTAAAATTCTCCCTTTTTTTTTTCCACTTTATTTTGATACTTCTAAAGTTTTTTTCACAACTATTTTTCTACAGTTTCAAAACAACAGCACTGTGACATGTGTAAACCAGATGAACTGAAGATAAGCATTTAATGCTCATGAAATGGTCATAAGAAAAAAAAAAAGTAGAAGAAACTTTTTTCATCAAATTGACAAAAATTTTTTTGTTGAAAGAGCAAAAAGAAAAACGAATCAATGAAAATGAACGGCAAAATATATATTC